AGTACTTGCCCGACGTTAAGACTGCAGTCTTCTACGGTGGTACCCCCATCCAGAAGGATGTCGAACTCCTGTCCAACAAGGACACCCACCCCAACATTGTTGTCGCCACTCCCGGTCGTCTGAATGCCCTGGTCCGTGACAAGAAATTGTCCCTGCGCAACGTGAAGGCCTTTGTTCTCGACGAGTGTGACAAGATGCTTGACCAGATCGGTACGTACATGCGAGATACGATTCGATTATCACCTCCCACTAACACCCTCCCTTAGACATGCGCCGTGATGTCCAGGAAATCTTCCGTGCCACCCCCGCCGATAAGCAGGTCATGATGTTCAGTGCCACCCTCTCCCAGGAGATTCGCCCCATCTGCAAGAAGTTCATGCGCAACCCGCTGGAGGTCTATGTCGATGATGACACCAAGCTCACCCTCCACGGATTGCAGCAGTACTACATCAAGCTCGATGAGAAGGAGAAGAACCGCAAGCTGAATGAGCTTTTGGACAACCTGGAGTTCAACCAGGTAATCATCTTCGTTAAGAGCACCCAGCGTGCCAACGAGCTCGACAAGCTGTTGCGCGAGTGCAACTTCCCCAGTATTGCAGTTCACTCTGGTGTCAGCCAGGAGGAGCGGTAAGTTCATCCGAGTTCGGCATTGGCCGCAGCAATTTGCTGACCTCCATCTAGTATCAAGCGCTACAAGGAATTCAAGGAATTCAACAAGCGTATCTGTGTTGCCACTGATGTCTTCGGTCGTGGTATTGATATTGAGCGTATTAACCTCGCCATCAACTACGATCTCCCCGCCGACGCTGACTCTTACCTGCACCGTGTTGGTCGTGCCGGCCGTTTCGGTACCAAGGGTCTCTCTATCTCCTTTGTCAGCAACGAGGATGACGAGAAGGTTCTTAAGGAGATTGAGAAGCGCTTCGAGGTTGCCCTTCCGTAAGTTCTCTTCCATTCCACATTATAATACCCTTTGGCAAAAGGCTAACCATGATCACAGTGAGTACCCTGAGGCTGGTGTTGACTCCACCACCTACATGGCTTAGACCTGTCTAGGTGAAAACTTTGTTGATGTGAAATTTCTTTTTCTCTTTCCAATTGTTATGGCGCAATAGCTCGGGTTTTGATATGTTTTTCTCCGCCGTTGGGCGCTACCTCTGCCCTCCCGTGGGTTTGAAGTGAGGCACAACCCTTCTATGTATTCGAAAACAGCAATGGAAGCAAGAATGGGTTAGCCCTGCACGACTTTTCAACTGTATCCTGACCGTATCCTGACGGGAACCTTGGGATCTCAATGTGGAGTTGCGATGTCATAGTTATCGACGTCTGCGAGACAACTCAAAGCCGAAGACAATCAGATAGGAATATGCACCGCCCTACGGTCGCGGTTTCAACCCAGATAACACGAAGACCCTGCCAAGCCAGCTAGAGTGGATAAAGACACCCGAATTCAATCTCCGATCATCTTTGTTCGTCGTGATTTGCTCATATTTCTCGGGGCCGGTCCACCTGTAGCTCTAGGACCCCAGGAATAACATCCTATCATGCAGTGTACTACAAGCTGAATGTATGTAATCGGTGGTCGCAGTTCCAGTCTGATCCTTCGTAGCAACTTTGGTCATCTTTTCCCCGATTCTTGTGTCAGCCATGCGATTTTACTGATTCGAGGCACCATGTTGTTCTGGGCAAGATATGTATGTGCTTGATGTTTAGGATATCTATGTTGTACCGATTCAAAGTAAACAGGACTGGTTAACCGCTTATGCGGCCTTGTGGCGTCTCTTTCGTGGTCCTTCTCAGATATCCTGTTTATATTTTTTTCTATAATATTATTTCATATAGGCTTAATTTGTGAAAATGACTTTTTCCATGTATAAACTGGGATACAGCCAGTCAGTATGTAATGCTGTTTGATTTATAAGTTCAGTATCAGCCGGTCATAGATAAAATAAATGTTTTCCCTGCATCTGCATGCTACAGAGAATTGACAGCAGTCAAGCTGAACACACGGCAGGGAAATTAGAATATTCTGAAGCAAGTTATAAATGCATGGATAATCTCGTATAATTGTCAAGGTTCAGGTTTTTTTTTTTTTTTTTTTTCAAAGTACTCGGTGGTTGGTGTTGTGAGCCATATATATATCTATGAAGCGAATATAAATATATGTACAACATCCAACCGTAACACCGAGAAAACGAAAAGTATAAAGCATAAAAGCACATTAAAAACCTGAAATATAAAATACAGTTACCTAATGCCCTACCCTGTTTGAAGGCAAAGTGGCTTAGCCCAAAGCACTAGATGGAAAGGCACCGGGTAGCGCATCAAAACAAGGCAGACTAAACAACCCTCAAAACCCTGTCTTGAATTTTCAGTGTGTCCACTAGGGGGCTGTCTCTAGCGTCGGCTCTTGTTGTGAGTGGCTCTGTGTCAGGGGTTTGATCACGAAGGTGTGCAGAGTCTGCATTGGTGTGATTTGAAGATTCATATTAATAATAACCAAACTACGGAGTACGAAGTGCATACAACATACACATGATTGTACAAAGTACATATGTAGCTGTTTATCTCATCTCCGCTAGCCCAATCAACTAGACACAATGAGAAATAGCGTTAAGACATGGTCGATCAAAAAATATGATAGGCCAATGGTTGTGCACTGATACGATCGAGGGAGGCTATTGCAAGTTTAGTAACGGAGTATTTTCTGTACGATTCACAATTTCAATCACAAATTTCTCCCCTTTTTATTTTACATCCGCGAGGTTCCGAAGCTCCGAGAGAACAAGACTGGGCTCTAGGCTTGATCGAACCTAGGGGGCTACTTGGGACTGTGAGATTAATTTGGTTTCAGTGAGACGAGGCTTGCATTCGAGATTGATTAATTTATGGTATTTAATATACCCATACCGAGTCTCTAGCCCAATTATATTCTACTTTAGGCCGTCCTGGGGGCGTAGTCATGACATCTGTGGCTTCCCCTAACGCCATAAATTCAATCATTCCAAGCCTCAGCCAAGATTGATTGTGGCTGAGGAGTACTCATGAAGCTCTTATATTGAAGATCTGTTTCCGGTCTCCGCAAACGTGGTTCATCCTCGCCTGGGCAACTGTCGGCATGACCACATAACATTTGAATGTGTGTATATTGTCTCTGTACCCAGTACGGAATAGAGTAAATAAGCATTTGAATGCTATTCAGTTTTATCTATTTCCGGTTTCGAGGAGAAGAAAGAGAGGTGTCGAATGTACTGTGTGCCGTTCCACCTGCACAACGGGCTATTATTTGTACAGATTTGTCTTATTATTATTATGTTGCAGGTTGATTCCAAGTGATAGACCTCTCTGCACAGATGTGACTGATCAGTAGCAATTTTATGTTGGGCCGGAACAGCAGGGAGACATTGCATCCATTGGCAGCCATTGCAGCCATTGCTTGCATTTCTCTTTGAGCATGCCAATACCATTTTTTTTACTTTGTATGTTATCAGATTGAAAGGAAAATCCCCGATATCAGAAATATTCTTAGAATCCCTTGCGGTCGCTGCAAACAAACATCGGCACGCGCGTCGATCACTTTGGTATGCTGGGATTATCAACACCGCCCCCTAAGGTATGCGGATGGTCGATCCTGAACATCCCTTGTAATTGTATCAGCCTCCTATATTATGCATGAGCTACTGATCTCGCATAGGTTAAAACGAGTCTAAAGTGGTGTAAAATATCTCTGTCCAAGTATTGGGTTTGATATCTAATTTTTTTTTTCAACTCTTTTGTATGACAATAACCTCTAGCGATACAACATTCTTTTGCTCCAGAATGTAGTGGGGAAGAGGGGATATTCCACCCCTCTTATGGTCTAAGTGGTACGGAGTACAACATACGATGTACAATGACCGGTGGCCAATTTCTAGTCCGGTTGTCAATTGGATGTCGATCAGGGATACAAAATTGATGCATTCATCTGCATGTGTGAGAACCCCAGGTACCAGGTACCGTGTACACAGGGATTTAGAGGAGCTGAACTAGATCCCTTGGAATGATTTGAAGAATGTGCCGTTTGTGCCCGATATGCTGTGATATTTCGGTTTTAAACAACTATACCGGAAGATAAACCCGTTCATGTTCATAGGAACAAGTCATGCGTTGGCCTTATATATTCTTTGAGTGACTATATTGCTTAACATCAGTTCTCGGCTGAATTAGGGTTGGAGTGGAGGAGATGACGAGACCAGAGACGCGGCATACAACGCGTCGATGAAAATCCCCAGACCTTCCAAGCATAATATACTTCGTACAGAAACAGAAGAGACCGTTGGGTCTAATCAATTTTTAAAATTACAGTATTGTGTAATATAAAATGTACTAGTATCGGAAGAAGAAAACAAGTTAAATATAGTATCAGGCTATCAAGGCAATAATAATGTACCTGCCCAACCCTCAAGGAAAATAGATATAATTGAACTGATATTTACTTAACTATCTACGAAAGGTCTGTCTAAGTATCTATATAAGAAAACACTTTTCGTTATTAGAGCCGCAAAATAGATAATGGGCTAGACCCTTTACTAAGTAGAATGGATCCCATTAGATCCAAAATAGAAGTAGAAAAAAAAAAGAACTGCATCCATCTCTGCTTTTCCGTTGACAAAATATTCTTATCGTTCCTGATTTCCGTTTTCGGAGGACCATTGAAGGCTTGCAAGTATTCAAAAAACAAAAAAGATCGATCGCATTCAATTTCTCTCTCTTTTTTCATTTATTCCCTAAAGCGTGAAGAGAGAATAGAGAGAGATACGGCAAGAAACTTGAACGTGGAACAACCCTGTCTTTCCCCCCCCCGGTCTAAACTTCCATTTGAATTTCATCCTTGACAACTCTCCTTCCCTTTTTTTTTTCCCTTCACTCACCCTTTCTTTTCCTCCAATCTCGTTTTCTGTGGGAATCTGGACCTTTTTTCACCTGGGACTTTCCCGCCCAGTTCCTTCCAGATTTGAGAGATGGCTCCTCCTCCACGTCTTCGCATTCTGTCCGGTGAGTTCATCTTTCTTCAGTCTGAACATCTGAGACATTACAAGATGGTTCGTTATCTAACCAAAGCCTGTGTAGTTGGTGGCAACGCGATCTCAGCCTTTCTCTCATGGCGACTTCAGGCAACAACTTCCTGCGACGTTACGCTGGTCTGGAAATCCGGATTTGATGCAGTGTCTCAATACGGTGTCTCATTTAAGTATGTATTCAGGTTCTTGTGTCACTGCTAGATGGCTAATTCCCTCCAGATCAAAAGCATTCGGCAACGAACGATTCAAACCCCGGCATGGTGAGATTCGGATTTCAACGTTCGGCCTGAGATTTGCCCAGAGCCCACGGCTGACTTGTCCCGATTTCTAGTTGTTCGTGCTCCCGAAGAAGCCTCATCCCGTGAAAACGCCTACGACTATGTCATCCTTTGTGTGAAAGCCCTGCCGGATGTATACGACCTTGCCTCTGTGATTGAATCCGTCGTCACTCCCCAGCACACCTGTATTCTGGTGAATACCACAAACACACTCGGCATTGAAGCCCATCTTGAGCAAAGATACCCTACCAACGTCATCCTATCTCTGGTTTCCAACGTGGAAATTTCCCAAACCGGTCCCAGCGAGTTTGAACATCTGAGCTCCAGCGAGATTCATGTGGGCGCAACCAACAAATCTTCCTCCATCCCGACATCAATCCAGAACGACATGGCGGCGGCATTGTCAATGACTTTGAATTCCGGTCAGGTCGACTGCAAGGTTTCAGAGAATATCAGACAGGAGCAGTTTGAACGGATGATAGGGTGAGTTCCTTCGTTTTGACTCGAAAAATTGCATGCTAATCCCCACCCAGCCCGATCGCCTTCCACCCCGCAAGTGTCGTCTTCGACACCCCCAACCATACACAACTCCTCGAAAAAACCGGTGCTCGTTCACTGATAATGGGAATCATTGATGAGCTGATGGAGCTCGCCTCGGCACAAGGTTGCTCATTCCCTAGCGACTTCCGGGATAAGACCGTCCAAAAAATGATTTCGTTGGAATCTCCGACTACAATGTACTCAGATTTCCAGGGCCGACGCCCCATGGAGATTGAAACTTTCCTAGGGTCACCAATCAAGTTGGCAATCGAGACCAATGTTCGCGTTCCCCGAATCGAGACAATGTACGCGGTGCTACACCACCTCAATATCGCAAACCAGAACAAGCCCCGGCAGGAGTCTCCACCTGCATCCGTCATCGGCCAGCCGCCTCCCCGAATGTCGTCCGCACCTCAACAGCAGCGGCCCATGATGAATGGTGGCCCGCCATCTATGCGTGGAAGCCGAACACCCTCGGGCATGAGCATGCCCCCGCAACAAAGACGAGGCCCACCCCCTGGTATGATGCCGAGAGGTCCAGGCGGACCCATGCCGATGCCACCCCCCAACCGAGTTCAGCGCGATCCATCATTGGAGGGCCTTGAAGAATTCAGCCATTTGGTTGTCTACGACGAACAGGGCGAACCAACTATACCGCAGCAGAATGGAAATGGGTACCCCGACCCAGCACCTGGCCCTCTTTCTGAATTGGCATTACGGGAGCGAGAGCTGGCTCTTCGTCAACGTGAGATTCAGCTACGTGAACAGGAGATGAACATGCGCCGAGGCCCTCCTGGCCCCCCAGGACGTCGTGGACCGGTTCCTTCCCGCCCTGCTACCGCCTTTGATGAAGAAGACGAGGATTACTTCGACCCGATGGATAACATGGGGATTCCTCACGTCGACCCTGACAGTGTCGACATGATGAGCATGACTTCCCGCCGAAGGGGCAAGGGTCCCAGCCACAGCCAGTTCCGCAAAAACCCTGAATTCGGTGTAAACGCTCCTGGCTCTGGTGGCAGCCGTCCTTCCTCATCGGCCTTTAACCGCTACTTTGGTAGAAAACGCACGAGCGATCGTGTGATGCAAGAAATCCCCGGTCTCCATGATTCGCTCATGGACAACCCCATGATGAGCTACTCCTCCAACAGATATGGAGCCGTCGACCGAAACCAGATGCACGCGGATTCTCGAGCCAATTCTTTAACGGCCAGCCACATGGGCGACTACCCACCTCGACCCTTCCCACAAAGCCGGCGAAACAGCCAGACTCCTGGAATTCCATTCGGCGGACCCCCAGGACCTCATGGACACCCTGGCCCAGGAGGCCCCCGGATGGGCCGCCCTCCAATGCCGCGTGAACACAGTCTTGGACCCCCTGGTGGACCTCACAATAACCAGCCTTCACCTCCTGGTAACATGCGTACGCCAGTGCCGCGGTATCCTCCAGGACAAGGAAACGCAGCAGGGCCGCAGCAAGTTGAGCAACACTATGGGGTGAGCAACGCGTTCCCCGCTAAGGGTCCTCCTAAGAACCAGAATCTGACCGGAAGTGCGAGCGCCAGCGCGGGGAGTGGTGATAGTGGAGCCAGTGCCAATCTTGATTCCGAACCCTCATCTCACAGCAGTCAGATCAGCCTCGGTGGGCAGGGGGTCGCGGCGCCCGTTCGCTGAAAAAACGGGATTCCCTCCGGTTTTCTCAATAGCTGACCGGCGTTCCCATGATTGAATTCCGTTTTCGGCATTACATTCTTCCTCGGCTTGGACAATCATCGTCCACCGAAAATTGGTCATGTTTGGACCTTTTTTGCATCATGGTGTCATTATGCGGGGACTTTATTCTTCGGTCCCGTGCTCTTGAAGCACTGGTTAATACTCTGCTATTCGCTTCTTTACATATACATGAGGGACATAGGGGTCTTCGTTGCTCATTTTTCATTTTTCACTTTCGGAGTGTGGTTGGGATAACGAGGTGTGCGTGCGTGTTTTGTCTTTTTTTTTGTGATTTGCTCTGCATCGATACTCATCCTGTTTCGCGGCATTATCGATTTTTTAATGAGGCCACTGCGCGAGCCTAGACTGGGACATCCTTATCCTTGCTGTTTCTCTTCCTCCTATTTCATCTTTACAGCATGTCGATATAGCGTTGTCGTCGGCTCCCCTGTCCACCCTTTCATCTCTCTACATGCCTGTATACTACCAGCCGGCGCATTCCTTTCCCCCTCCCATCTAGACTCGTATACGCCTGTTGTCTTCATTTTGTCTGTTTTATCATCATTCGCTCCCCACGGGCATTTCCTTCATTTGCCTTTTTCTTTTTTTCCTTGTCTCTCATATGGCTTGATGCAAACAGCCTCGTCTTTGATTTTGTGGTCTGGTCTGGTCTCTGGCGCATTCCAAAAGAGCGGGGGTTGAATTTATTCGGTTCATTGAGTTGTGTTGATCTGCTTGCTGGGTTCGCGCTTTGCTGAGAAATTTATTGAAGGGTGCGCTGCAGTGTTCAGTTTCGCTGCTTTTGAACGGCACTTTATCCTTCCGAGGAGAATACGAATTAGACCTATTATATCGTTGAGGTCTCTATATTTTATTCCAGTCCAAGTACATGTTTAATGCATAAAAGAGATTGAATGCATGTTCTTTTTGAAGTATAAAATAGAGTACATATATGTGTCGGCACGTGATCACCTGATAGTAAACAATCCCGCGGCCAAATAACATCAACCAACACAACCCAAACAAAATCCAACCTGCACACTTAGAAGCAAAATCATATCAGGAACCCTATTTTCCCTATTTTTCAAGCCAGCTTCCAAACCAAACCATACTCAAAATGCCACCCCTCCAATCCACCGTCGCCAAGAATCAAACACCACCTACTCCCGTCCCTCAACCCTCCCAGGAAGAGACTACAACACAACAGCAACTCACACATTTAACACAAACCCAAACACCACATACACCCCAAATTACAACTCGAACGCCTCAACCCCTTCCATGTCCGCTGCCAAGTCTCGCCAATATGCCCACCTCCATTCCCAGCTTGCACAGCTCAACGCCAACCTCGCCGACACGGAGAACCTACTCCGCATGACTGCCGTGCAGGCGGCGGACATGCGTTTCCTAGGCGGGTACTCTGGGGCGCTGTTCATGGGCTCTGCGAAGATTCTGGGTGAGGAGGGTGTTAAAGGAAATGCGGATAAGGATAAGAAGACTGATTCCGAAGGGGGAATTAAGAGGGAGGAGAGTGATGAGGATTGAAGATGGATTATCATTGAGTATTGATTTGATTTGATATGGTGAGTTATATGTGTCATAATTGTGTCGCGGTGCTATTGCTTTATAATAGGCTGTGGGGGATTCCTATGACTTATGCTAACATAATATGTCTAACAGCAGAGATATGGCCTCCCTCCTGCGAGGTGATATCTTACTCCACCACGAATTGACCACCGAGAATAATCGCTGGCTCATCGATGTTATGGTGTTCATAACTATTTCCCAGTTATGTTAGCTGTGTTCCATACCTACGACATGAGAAATTTCTCCAAGTTCGCGCGTCTTACCTGAGTGTGCCTATGCCACCAGCCTCGAGAATCAGCGATGTCTCCGTCAACGGCTTCCCCGTCCATCTCATTGCAAAAGCACGCAGAATATGGCCATGCGCGACAACAAGGACATCGCTTTTGGGCTCATCCGGGTTCTCAAAGGCGGGACGTTGGTATTTGTTCCTGATTTCATCGATTAGAGCGTCGAGGCGACGAATGATATCTTCAGGGGATCTGGTAGGAGAGAAATGAATGTTAGCATGGAACGACACCACAATGTTCAACGCATGGCTGAACGCAATGCCTAGAATCAGACGAAGAAAAGAAACTTACTCTCCACCGGGACATCCATCAGTCCAAATATTCCATGGCCCCTCACCCCTCTCAGCCCGCTGCTCGCGGATCTGCTTGCTCGTCATACCCTCATAGTCCCCGTAATCCCACTCTCTAATCGCCTCCGTAACCTCAACCTCGGCCTCGGTCCGGATAGCTCCCTCATTTTCGGGCTTGTGCTGTTCATTCCAGGGCATTCGTCCTTTACAGCCGAGTTCGAGGAGTTCTAGGGTGCGCTGGGCGCGATGGCGGGGTGAGACAAAGCTATAACGGTATTAGTTTTGTTTGTAGTGGAATAATAGCGAGTAGCAGTGTATAAGGATTTTTTCTTACACATGAACAAGCTTCTTGGGAACAACCAGTCTGTCATTTCCAACGAGCGCTTTGCCTGTTGCTTGAATGCGCTTCTCTCCATTGGCTGTGAGTGGTAGATCGGTGAGACCAGTGTGTCGACCATTAAGTGACCATTCTGTCTCGCCGTGGCGGATAATAAAGCATCGAGGAGCCATTGTGAATTGAATTGGATATAGTGAGAAAGAAAAAGAAGAGGGAATCCGGTTCAAATATGATATTCATATTTCAGTGTTGGGTCTCTTTGCGTCATGGTGGACCCGGATAACAGGCTTATCTTTTTTTCTACTCCAACTACGTATGGATCTACTTACACATATACAGAGTAGAGCTTCAATTATTCGGTATTCAAATAAATTAAACATTAAAACACTGCTTCTTCCTTTTTTTGGGGGGGGGGGGTGATTCCCTCGTAGCTTGCCGAATACCCAACCCCCAAACCATAGAATAAGCCATCACCGACAAGAAACCTCAAAACTATGAGCCGTCTTCTTCCGCGAAAGAGTTTTGCACTTCTCATGAGATCCAGTCTTGACCTCTTCAACCATCGCATGTCGAGAACACCTTTTATCCCGGAAAAATTTCACCTTGCAGCCCGGATCCATATCGAGGTTGATGAATGCCTCCGCGCCGTCGTTCTCGATGTTAGGACGACAGCCTGTAGATCCTTGACCCTCGTACGTGACAATTGTTCCCATGCAGTGCTTGCTGTGGAATAGATCGAAGCTCCAGTGCTGCTTGTGGGGCTGGTGTTGTTCTTCGGGTGGGCGGGCAGTTGGATGGCCAGCTGTGAGGGCTGGGAGGAGGAGGGTTAGGGCAAGGAGGGGGTGTAGATCAGTTTCATTTTGGATAGTGGGGTTTATTTCAATGGGATATGTTATTTGGAGGAATTGAAAGAGTTATTGGCTTGTGGGGGGTTGAGGTGTTTATAGTTGATTCTTGGTATTGCGTAGTTATGACTGCTGTTGTTGGGTCTTACCGTGGGTTGACGCGTGCATTTGGTTCGTGGACTTCGGGTGGTATATTTATTGTTGTACTTTTTGATTTGGTTTACAGGATGGATATTACATCTATGGTAGGTTCTAGTAGGCTTCAATTTCTCGACTTTATTTCAATCAACTACTACTACTAGTCTACTAGTAGTAATTAAGTAGTCTTGGTACGATTAATTTGGCCATATGACGATGGTGTCCCATCACTTGCTATATGACAAGGATATGTTGACTAGATTGGAAAACATCCATTGGACTATAGCGCACTTAGATGCCCTCTCTCTGGGATTGGATCTAATGATTCTATAGATGGACTCTACCGCCTTTCTCTCCGCCTTGTTCACCCTCTCTGCATCAAGTGGGATGTCGGATATTCTGCCAGACAAATATTCATGTTCTGCTTCCACACAATATCCTTTGATACACCAATGAAAGCGTGGATAGCAAGTCCATTCGCTCAAATAAGCCCTCAGAGAACCCATTCAACCCACGGGGGTGCAGTTCACAGTTCACTATTGGCCGTATCTTCTCATCTAAACCGCCAATATGGAACGCCGACTCACATCTAGGAATGTGAGCCTGGACTGGGTTGACCGAGGTGATCAAGATGGGGATACTGTCTCAGCACATCTCATCCAAAGCACATACACCCGGCTGAAACTCCAGTACGAAGAAAAGTTACGCCAGAATTGGGTCGAACAACTTGAATCACCCAACCAAGTCCTCGAGCAGCTGTCTCTCGCCGCATGTCTAATCGAACTATGGAAGAGCATGTACGGCCCTCTACTAGCAACAGAACAACAGCCATCGAAAAACACAGCTCTATTCCCAGGGTTCGTGGACCTGGCCTGTGGAAATGGTATCCTCGTATACATACTTCTCATGGAAGGCTACAAGGGCGTAGGCTTTGACGCCTGCCGTCGAAAATCCTGGGAGACATTCCCAGCCGAGATACAGGAATGTCTGGAAGAGAGAATCTTCATCCCTCGGCCTTTTGCGGATGTACTGGACCAAGAAATCGGCGTGGAGATACACACAGGCGATTTCCCGGATAATACATTTATCATATCCGACCATGCAGATGAGCTGACCGTATGGACTCCTATAATGGCTGCTCTAGCGAGTCCCTCGTCGCCATTGTCGTTTTTTGTGGTGCCGTGCTGTTCGCGTTCACTTGCTGGTTCTTCGTATCGATATCCCCCGCCCAAGAGTGCGGATGATAAAAATGGGGCAGGGAAAGTTGTTTATGCCATAGAGCAGGATTCACAGCCTGTGTCTGGTGATTTGAGGGCACTTCGTGCGATTAAGATGAAAGAGAAGACTGAGAGCGGGTTTCTGAATTCAATGATTGGATCTCTTGCTGCGAAAACTATGAGTATTGCCGAGGAGATAGGGTTTGATGTTGAGAAGACGTGGTTACGCACTCCGGGGGCGATTAACATGGCGTTGATTGGAGGTCGACAGCGTGTCACAAGGGAGTGGCTACAGAACTCAGGTTCTAGAGATTCTCAAACAAAACGAGACCAAGGAGATGTCGTTTTGAAGAAGATCATGGAAGTGGTTGAGCATGAATGCTCTAGAGATGGTGGCATCGAAGTAGCTGCCAAGCTCTGGGTTGAACGAACGAAGAGTCTTCGCCAGGGACAGGGGATAATGCACCTAGCTAACTAAAGATACCCAAATGAAGATAATCATCTGTCAATAGCATCCTGGACGGTCATCGGCTCCAATGTACATCTATAACCGAAATGGTATTGGTATGTCATCAGATATGCTCTAAATCTATTCACACCTAAACAAAATATAAAACATAGAGTGGGGGAATAGAGGAGTGTGTTAATGTACAATAATGTTACAGGCCTCTTCAACTCCGTGGCTATTAGTTGAAGATCCAAATCAAAACGCCCAGGCTCCCAATTTAAACAATCATACCGTCACACATACTTTAATCACGGCGTATCACGCCTCAGGCTTGATATGACCTTCGGGGCAAACGGTCTCTTTTCCATCACCGTTGCCGCTTTCCGCACGAGCGTTGTTAGAAGCCGTAGCTGATGCCTGCATAGCAGCCTGGGTGGTAGGTGTCGATTTTAAGTTTCTCGATGCAGCTTGAGCCGCAGCCGCAGCCGCATTCTCTCTGAGACGTCTTAGGCGCTCAGATCGGCCTTCCCCTGGGAGACTGCCCCAGACTGGTTCGATAGAATCGGCGCGCCAGTTATTGCGATTTCCGCCAAGTGCGCTGCGCTTTGGGGAGAGAGGAGCGAAGGTGGAGCCTCCCACGCCGGATTCACCCCACATGCGGACTCGTTGAAGCTTGCGCAGTTTCGAGAGACCGTAGACGCAGACGAGACCAGTGAGAGCAAAGCAGATCGTGGAGACACCTCCAAAACCGAAGTCTGATTCTTCAATGAAATTCTTCAAGTTCATGCCGTAGAGAGCGGAGAATAATGTTCCTGTTGCGAGGCCGAGTGTTCCAATGCTGAATTTGAGATCCATGAGCATAAGCGAGTTGCGGTTGGCGTCGAGAATAGCCTTGACTCTGAGTTGTGTTAGAGGTGATTTCCATAGATAATGAACGATCAAACTTACACTTCTTCCGTATTGCGGATGTTCGTCACCAAATTGCCACTGGCCTGAACAATCTCGTCGCACACTTTGTGGTATGACTCCAGAAGCATTTCCACTTCTTGGTGGTCATCCTCTTCTCGCTCTTTGCCGTTCGATCTCTCAGACAAGTACATTGCTGCCAGATCGTCATCGGCTTCCAGCAGGTCATCAATAGCATCCCGTACCAAGCGAGCTTTCTGCTCGAATGTACCCAGCTTCTTGGAGTAGATCAAGAGGTGTCGGAGCTTATCTCGGTCGATGTCCTCCTCGAGTGCACGAAGAACGCGCACAACGGGATCTCTCACTCCATTAAACTCCTCCTCCAGACCACTCGTGACGCTAATGAGAACGGCTTCCAGCGCGCGAAACTCGTACGGCAGCGATTGACTAGGCTGAGCGGCACCCTGGGATTGTCTCTGGCGGAGCTTTCCTTCTAGATCGTAGATGAACAGCGATTGCATGTATGAGTCTGTTGATCCATAAGCATCGAACACGAGGACCCGGTCCGCTTTAATGAGGACTCGCAGATGCAACAGATTGATAAGAATTGCCCTAGGTCGCACCAGGATATGAGGGAGAGTCGACGAATCAATCTTGCGTAGATCTCGAGGAAGAAGGCCATACTGTATCGTGATTCACCGGTTAGCAAATGCTGAAGTCTCAAACCCGAGTCCTTCTTACTAACCTTGGCAATCAGCTCCTGCTTCCGGAACTCTCCGTTCACGAGGGTGACGTCTCCATTGATATCAAACTCCGTGCATCGAATCCGAAGCTCATTTGACGCCTTGGCTGATAGGCTGCGGCCAATATTAAACATTCCCTCCGTACCTTCATCCATAAGCCCAGGGCTAGCCGGACCTTGATTCTTGTAGTCGGTAGCTTTATTCCGCTTGAGATCAAAAAGCCGTCGGAGAAAGGGTCGGCTTTTGGTTGACGCATGACGCGAGAGTTTCAGCTGCGTCGGCACTAATGGCGACGAGAATGTTGCTCTAGTTGTACTAAGTGTCGCAGAGCCATGTTGAGCATCGGTACGCGTCCAGTTCGAGAGTTTCGGGGAGGGCCCTGTCGAGAAGCCTTTATCGCGGCTGGCAAGACGCTTCGGAGAAGCGCATGCTGATGGTGCTGCTGGGAACCCAGACTGTGATCGTAGGAAGCGCAGTAAAGAGGCAGAGGGTGCAGACAGCCTCGGAGACAGCATGTCTCTGGATTATCGACTGAGCCGTACGCAAGTTCTCCCGATCAGATCAAGATACCCGGACGCTTTTTTCCCGTTGCTCGGAACAACATTGATCCGATTATCAGAACTATACGATTGGTACATAAAAACACCGCTTGCTGTTTCAAATGTCTCGTACTCTGGAATTTGGAGTGGTTCTATCTAGACACTGCTACCATATTAAGTCAAAGCACTTCCTTCTCGGCTCAGTGCCCAGGCAACCAGGTCATCACCCTTGTCCTTCTCCATCATCTCCATTTGGCATTGAATCACCCAGATCAAGTGTGCCTCAATCGCATGATAGTTGTCGAACCAGAGCTGGTAATTCTTGCAGCTCTCATTCCAAGTGCTGTGTTCCACAAAACTTCGAGTTTCGTGGTCTAGGTTCTCCCATGCAGTAACCCACTTAGGAAAGGCCAGCTTCAACGTCAAGATCTCGGCGAGGCCAATATTATGATAATCGTGAGTCTTAAGCTTTGCAATAACAGGCAAAATGTCCAAAACGACATCCTTAACCTCATAGATCGAGGATATCCGCTCAAACTTCCGGTATCGTTTCGTCAGCCTCTTCCAAGCAGCCGAAAGGATAAATGCTAGCCGCACTCGCTCGCTATCCAAGCAGTAATTCAACCATTTCACAAGTACTTCGCGTAGCTTTTCGCGCCCATGGTCTTTAGCAAAACAATGGTTACAGGACAGCCCATCGATAAAAGTACCGGTGATCGTGTTCTCACTTTCGTCCCAGTTTCGGAACTCCCAGGCAGAGACGGTGGCAGGTACCCAATGGTTGAGAGTGGAACCAATACGGAACGCACGTAATTCCTGCCAGCGTGAACATACCGGACATCGCACCATATACATAGCCCAGGGAGAATCAAAAACATCCTCGCGAAACCTGTTTAGCTCCGGGGCATTGGCGGCCGGCCTCATACTTGTCATTATGGCAGAAAGACCTGGGAAATATCGGTCCAAGGCAGTGTCAAATAGCACACGACGGCTCCGCATTATGGGTACCTTGTCTGTACCTCGCTGCATAGCAGAAGAGAGCTCACCGCGCCGGAAACGACATTCGTTGCACTTGCGCCGATGCCGCTTGAAGCCACAACGCTCTTTCTCAATGAGACGTGCTTCATGGTCCAGAAGAACCTGTTCTTCTTCTTGTGTGATACTGCAATATTCGTCCAGATTAAAGCCTTGAAATGTGATCATCCCGCTGTCCTGAAAACTGGCTAATCTTGCGCCCCTATCCCGCACAGGATGATTCGATCTCAATGTGTTGCATTTAGATGCGAGATCGTATCGACGCCGTATTTTTTTATTCTCATCTCTCGAATCGGACTGTTGTTTCGGTTTGTGGGGTTTCCAATTTCTTGTTGGCTCCCAGCTCGTGTAAGCACTTGCTGCCGGAGATCCTGGCAATGGCTTGCGGTACTGTAGTCGTAGGATAGAGTGATTGTCAAAGGCTGTATGTGGAAGCATCTGGAGACAGATACTACATGCCCAGCGCATAGAATGCCATTCTTTTGACGAGAAGTCAGGGTTGAGGTGATTGTCCTTTGATCGAAAGACGGGGGTGACTCCTCCGACTTCTTCTCTGCACTCAAGTTCAAGCAACCTCTCCAGTAAATGGATTCTTTCTGGCTGCACCACTGTGCGAAATTTGGAGTTGGTTTGGCTGACGGTTATAAGGCCAACAGGGTCCAAGAGACGGAAGATAGAGCACAGGATTTCAACGGGCAAAGACCCAAGAGATGGAGGATCAGGCTTCATCATGAAAAGCGGTGTTTTTGAAGCGAAACTCGAAACTGGTGTTTATCATACAGGAGACAAGAGACAGGCTTTACTTTCAAATGTATACAGTTAAGATAGTAAAAGTTATGGATGTCTCCAGGTTCATGCCCAGGCTTATTATTGGCGGTGTGAGCTAAACTCCACTTAGCCATACATCTAAGCTCCCTAGCATTGGAAGAGAATAAAAAGAAACATCTACTCGTACTGACACTATTTCTCGTATCCACTGCATCTACCTTGAAAGCTATATACAAAGTGCATTGCCCCTCTTTTGTTAACACTTGAAGCAAAACTTTTAGGCAAAACGCTGGACCCAAGAAACATAATGCTCAATGCTCGCAAGAATGCACAAAAGCTGTGGGTATCTTCAAATACTTGAACAATCCCACCGAAAACTAACCGCTCACCAATCGTCGTCGTTGTCTTTCTCGTCATCTACCAAGATAGTTAGCATATAGATCCGCGTCTGAGTGTTGCAGTTGACATACCACTTCCGCTGACTCTCTGTTTTCGCTTGTTGAGGGCGTCTTGCAATGCGCCGGCCAAGCCACCTTGCGGGGCGCCTCCTGCATTGGGGCTTGTAGTTGAAGACTCATTGGTAGCACCCGGTACCAAGGCTTGACTTCGATCTTTCTTTTCCGTATCCTTGACCTTGCGCAACATTCCGCCTTTGTTGCCACCAGAAGCTCGGATGGACGCTAGCAGATCGGTGTGCCCACCAGCAGGCTTTGGCAAGGGCGGTGCAGCACCACCAGGCGGTGGAGGCGGAGGGGGAGCACCACCTCCAGGCGGCCCAGGGGGTGGAGGCGGCGGTGGCGGTCCACCTGGTGCCCCTGAAACAGGCGCTGGAGGAGGGGGAGGGGGAGGCATTGAGGGGCCACCACGGCCCGGGGGCGGACGAGGCGGGGGGCCGGGTGCTGCAGATCCAGGCGGCGGGGGCGGCGGCGGCGGCGGAGGAAGGCTAGGAGAATACGAAGGTGCCGATGGCGGGGCGGGGGGAGGCGACGCTGGTCCTCTTGGCGGTGGAGGAGGAGCTGCCGCAGGAGAAGACGGTGCAGCTGGCACAGGTCGGGGCGCTGGTGGGGGTGGAAGTGGAGGTGAAACGGGGCCCCTGGCAGGCGGAGGAGGAGGTCCACCAGTGGTCATGGGCGGCACTTTGGGGGGCAGTTGGGGTGGTGCTGCTGGACTCGCTGTGCGAGGCGGCGGAGGGGGAGGCCCACCTGGTACAGGGCTACGGCTGGGGGGTGCCGGTGGCGCAGACACCTTGCGATCACCAGAGAAAGCCGGTGGTACGCCAAATCGAGATTGACTCGATTGATTATGATGACTATCGTCCATCGGCGTCTTTGGTGGGCGCGGAGGTGGTGGAGGCCCAGCATTGACATTCGAAATTGCGCGTGGACGCCGCGGACCTACAGGGCCGGCTGGCTCGGCGAATTTTCCGGCGTCTGCAAATGGAGGCGGCGCATTGAATCTTCGCGCAGGCGGGGATGGCTCACGAGGGGGAAGGGAAACGGGTTCTTCTGGTGCTTCAGAACGTGTTTTCCGTGATGGCGGCGGCGGCGGCGGTCCCCGTCTGCTTGTCGAGCTGGAACCTGTGTCTTGAGGACTGATCGAAGCCACCTTCGGAGCGGGAGGTGCAGAAGGTGGCGGTGGAGGAGGAGCAGCCTTCGGCTTATTCTGTTCCTCAATGGGAGCAGACTCAGCCGCCGCCGCCGCCTGCTTCTGGTCAATCCAAGCTTTGATGAATTCGGAATTCTCGGCGATTTGGTCTTCGGTAATTCCCATCCCCTTAAGCTCATCCAGGAGTCCTTTCCAAGAGGGGTCGCTCGTATCAAATGGCAAATCTGGCTTAGCTGGTGGTACGCTTGGGGATAGCGTCGGAGGTGGAGGAGCAACCTGTATTACAGGCGCAGGTGCTGTCGGCGGCGGTGCACTTGGAGCCGGGGCCGAACGATGCAACAAACTGCCAAACAAAGACCGTCCTATTTTCCCATTGGTAACAGGAGCAGGTCCCTGGCCTCGACTAGAGGCGAAAGGAGTCTTGGATGTCTCTTTGCTTGCATGTTTCTCGCGCTCATGCACCTTCTTAATAAAGGTCTTTGCCTCCTTCTCGTCGACAAAGGAAAGGCCGGCGGGGCAGGATTCAAGCTCGAATGTGTGAAAGAAGGTTCGGTCCTGGTTATAAGCGAAGTTGTCATAGATCTCCTGGTCCCAGATCACGCCCCTGCCAGCGGGCTGCATAAAACGCAATTGTCAGCACTTCTATTCTTATCTCCAACACCAGCATGGATCGCGTACCGAGACGTCGACTATTTTAAGCCAAAAAGTCCTTCCCACAAGATCGTTGCAGAGGACAACAGCTCCTTGGATTCCAGTATATGTCCATTTCTGTGGATCCGGGTAGGCGACGTAGAGTCGCGCGACAGCTACGGCGAGGATCTTGTTCGCGGGTTTGGGGACATTCCGCTTAACGGTTTCCTTGTCGGCGTCGCTGAGGATAGAGGGCATAGTGAATCGAGGTAATCCCCCACTAAATGGAGAGGGGAAAGGTGATAATTCGAAGGGTGGTTACGTGAGTAATGCACACATTGCAGTCGGGCGGGTATCTTCGAATGATGGAATAGCGCCCTCGACACACCGACTAATACGGTAGGAGGTACAGGGGTTTCTTTGTGATCGATTGATTATATCAAAGGCCGTGTTAAAGAGCCGACCGGCGGTTGCCTTGAGAGTTGGAGAGGATAGACCGGAGGTGCGTAGGCGGGGCGGACCCAATACACCGGAGTGACATGGGCTTGCCGCACCGCTAACGGCATATGGTACTTTTTTTTTGTACAAGTGTAAGGCCACTGCATATTTATTCTTGATCTTTTGATATCCCAAATATAAATCGATTTGAAAAATGCAAAGAATATTGACATACCACGAGTGATAATTGCGGAATGCGGTCTAGCGTGGCCATTTCAATATAAGTGTCTTCTATGCGGAGTATCATACAACCATTTGAAGATGCGCTCACTTCATTTCTAGATGAGTATGGGCGTGTGATCATGACTTCTAGGTAAATAGGATGTATAAACCGACGATGTGACTAAATATATCTATATCGATCGTGTCTGTCACAACTAGGTAGAATACTATTTACCTTTTGAACCAAAAGCAATGTAGTTTCTCATACTTTTCAATTCTTCTATCGTGATTATACCTCAAAGGTATTGCTATCAAATAATAGCTACTAGGTAGCTGCACCAAGCCCTAGTTTGCACCCCAAATTACTCACTAAACATAACCAGAAACTATAGATTCAATTGGATTTAAATTTTATTCTGGTTTCTTGTACAGCCGAACATGTTTAGGCAACTTCTATCATGCTATTTGCTGCAAACTGACCACCGACGTCATCCCGTTTGAGATCTATAAAGCAGACATCCAACCAACCTTCAAGACCTGTTTCTTCAACTCACCGTCAAAATCCTTCCAGATTTATCTGATCTATCTACCAGTGAACAAGACCTAGTATTAGCTATTGATATCTCAACAAGAAGCCCTTCAATATCTTCAAAATGCCAGTCATCCCCGAGTCGTCGGACTTCCCATCTGCGCCCCAAAATGGAGGCAACGAGGCCGAGAAGAAACCACCCCAGAAAGCGACTGCAGCGGACTTCATATCAAAGGGACCTCAGATTCCAGACAGTAAGTTGACTACCAAGACCTACACAGGCCCGAAACTGACACTTTGTAGATATGCCTCCCAAGGCTTCGAAAGAGGAGCTCGAAGCACGCGCGAAGGAACTGAACCAGTCATCCAACTGAGACCATTGATCAATAATATTCATCTATTTGTACTTCATTTAATATCATACTCAACCATTCCAGACAACTTGTCCTTGTCGAGTGTATCTATAGCGGGCTATGACCCAAACTAGGTCCAACACCAACATACAGAGAGTAGCTGCCTAAGAATTATAAAGCAAACCAGACAAAATAGTAAAATCAGCTTATCTTTTGGAATCCAGCTCATTTTATCCAAAGGCTGCGTATACTCCCAAGGACCTCACCTGCGCAGGTTCATAAATTCATTACGTCATATATCATAGCACACGTGATCGCGCGACATCTCGATGACCGGACCCCTCTCTTCTCAACGCGTTAGGAAGTGATCCCAATGCCTCCAGAACGGTCTAGTGTGCCGGTGAAGCTGTCTCTACCACTGGTGAGTACCCTATCGATACAAGGCAGGCCTACCGCTAACCCCATCAAGCAATACCAGCAGGAACTCTTCACCGAACTACGCGCCGAAGATGAGCTAGTCATTCTTGCACGGGGCCTGGGGCTCCTACACCTAATAACAAATCTTCTCCATTTTTATGATGCGGCAGGAAATAATCTGGTCCTGGTGGTGGGTGCAGACGAACGCGAGAATGAATGGATCGGAGAGGGTATGTGGATCGGTTTACATCCCAGGTTGGAGGCTGGTGTTGGAGGCTGATGGACCCTGAAACCAGCATTGGCGGAGCATTATGCTACCAGCAAGTCCCCTCTTGCTAGGGGGTTGAAAGTGATCAATACCGAGAAAGCTACGGTGCCGATGCGGTAGGTTTCTCGGTTCTGCCATCTTGATTGCGGTGTATTGACAAATTGCCAGGGAGAGACTATATGCCGAAGGAGGTATTCTGAGTGTGACATCCAGAATATTGGTTGTGGACTTGTTATCGAGTATGTATGCCTAGTATAGTGGCCCAGACACTCGCTGATATTTCTAGGACTTCTTGATCCCGAGAAGGTCACTGGGATGGTTATTTTGCATGCTGATAAGGTTTTGGCGACGTCCCTCGAAGCATTTATTGTCCGGGTTTACCGGCAATCGAATAAGCGTGGCTTCTTGAAAGCATTCTCAGACTCCCCGGAGCCATTTACTACGGGATTTGCCCCGTTGGCTAATATGCTGCGGAACCTTTTCCTACGCAAGGCATCAC